CAGAGGCCAGATGATGAAGGTGAAGGACTGACAGGGAACCACCACATCCTGGGTGTAACTTTCCCATCCTTGCATTTTACTAAATGTTGGCTTGGAATTACAGGTGTCTTATGATGCACGTTTATGCTGATTGGCTACCAAAGAATGTGCAGTATATGCTGATTGGTCTCTGGAATCAGGAGGGCGCAAGAAAGAGCTAAAGGGCTCTTCTCCTTTGTCTGTCTCATCAAAGCCCCGCCCACACACACACGTCTGCTTTGTGTTGCACTGCAGACTGTTGAATAAAGACCTTTATCTGGTAGAATGTTATGAAGAATTTAAAAATTCCGCATCACTGGGAGAGAGAGATTTCAGGAAGGCCTGTGAGGAGATAAAGAGCAGGGAGCTGGTCTGGCAAGGTCTGGCGTAGCCTGTTGGGGGTAGAGCTGCGTTTTTCCTCTTTCCCAAGGCCCCCTGGGAAAGTGATACCTGTGAATTAATATAGCACTTCAATCTGTGATACATCTCAAGGTGTACTGAATGTTGAAATAATCAAAACACTACAACAATATGAAGTTAAAATTAAACAAAAGCACTGCTTATTCTCAAGTGGAATCAGTGAGGACCAGAAAACCAGTGACCCCTGTTTCAATCCTGGGGTTTGATGTGGACATAGTGGAGGACTATGAATACCTCAGAGTACACATCGACAATAAACTGGACTGGGTTAAAAACACTACGTCACTGTACAAGACGGGCCAGAGCCGCCTCTATTTTCTGAGGAGGCTGAGGTCCTTTAACATCTGTCAGACTGTGCTCAGTTTTTTCTATTAGTCTGTTGTGGCCAGTGCCATACTCTACGCTGCAGTGCCATACTGTACATTGCAGTGCCATACTCTACGCTGCAGTGCCATTCTCTATGCTGTTGCATGCTGGGGCAGCAGGCTGAGGGTAGCGGATGCCAACAGACTCAATAAACTGATTCGCAAGGCCAGTAACGTTGTGGGGATGGAGCCAGACTCTCTAAAGGTGGTATAGGAGAGGCGGATGTTGTCCAAGCTAAGCACAATGCTGGATTCCCTTAAGGTGGTATAGGAGAGGCGGATGTTGTCCAAGCTAAGCACAATGCTGGACTCTCTTAAGGTGGTATAGGAGAGGCGGATGTTGTCCAAGCTCAGCACAATGCTGGACTCTCTTAAGGTGGTATAGGAGAGGCGGATGTTGTCCAAGCTCAGCACAATGCTGGACTCTCTGAAGGTGGTATAGGAGAGGAGGATGTTGTCCAAGCTCAGCACAATGCTGGACTCTCTGAAGGTGGTATAGGAGAGGAGGATGTTGTCCAAGCTC